TCACCGAGGAATGAACCACCATTCCTTTCAAATCACTTCAACGATATATTTCAAAAATGCTAGCCAATAATTTCATATTTAATAGTAATAACAATAAATTAGAATAATCTTCATTAACAGATATATTTCACTTTCTTTCTAATTAATCTCAACATTTCTCATTTTCGTTTCAATTCGCAATTTTGTTCGCTTAATTTCCATTCATTTTCTTTCCCTCTCTCTTTTTCTCTCTCTTTCTATTTTACGGATATTTTTTTCGTTTCTTTTATTTTTTTTTCACAGTTTTCACAAAGTACAGCGAGTAACTCTACTACAGGGTAAGCTTGAACACCGGAGCAAGTTAGCAAATATTTTTATTCCGCTTTTAGGAACGCCAGGCAAAATGTTTTTAGGGAAAGGAAAATAGGAGGAGAGTAGGGTGAAAGAGGGTGAAAGGTGGAGGATGCTTTTGGATGAAAGAAAGAGAGAAAATACCGATAAAAACGTAATTGCTAGGGCATCCACGATCGACTAAATTTATTTTACGCCTAACAGGAGTAATTCCACATTTAATTCTTGTCTTTGTTATTTTTTTTTTGTTTTTACTTGTTTTTCTTTCTTTCCTTTGGCATTCTTTCATCTTTTTCCAATTTTTTTTTATTTATTTTTATTTTTATGGTAGACTGAAAACTGAAAAATTCGGATCAAGAAGTCGAAGATCGAATCGAGTCAGTTTACTCTTCAGAGAATTCTTGAATTCGAAACTTCTGATGGTTGCTGGTACTGTTACTCGATCTCTTCTTTATTTCTTTCTTTTTATATTCTTTTATTTTCTTTCATTCGTTCTCTTCTTTCTCTTATTTTCTCTTCTTAGTTTTCTCTTGGGTTCTCGTCAAGGTTTCTTTTCTTTACGTATAGCCTACCTTTCATCACCTCCTACTTGGTTGCTTGCTTGGTCTCTATAGATTGTAGGTATTGTAAGAAATTTGAAACCGTCTGTCTAGCATCTTAAATGAGAGAAAAAGAGAGAGAGAGAGAAAGAGAGAGAGAGAGAGAGAGAGAGAATACGTTGAAAGCTTCGCGAAATGTTTCTTGCGATCAAATTGCAGTACCGCGTGCGTATCGACGCCATTCGAGAAAATTGCATTTACCCCAAACCCAAGCAAACTTCTGGTTGATAATAAAATTCTTCGATGAGATGAAAACGTTCGAACCCGGTAAGGATTCGTTCCAGTAAAAAAGGAATTTTTTTCGTTATTTATAGTTAATACTATTTTAATAAAATTAATAATAATAATTATTATTATTTAGATGGGTATATTTAAATAAAATAAGAAATCAAATGTTTAGTTGTCTTTTAAAGTTTCTCGTTTGTTTTTGAGTTAATTTTATACTTTTAATTGTTTTTTATTGTATGTTATTTTATTAATAATTTTAATACTATTTAAAGAAAGGTAATAAAATGAAATGGATGATATACATGATATAATAAATTAATATAATATGTAAAATATTCTGTTCGTTAAGGTTTCTTAGAAAAAATTAGAAATTTTTAGGACAACTTTTATCTGATGTATTATTAAATGTATTGTAAAATGTAGACAATATTTATTGTTCATTATGGTAATTAAAAATATAAAAATTAGCAACATATAACCTTTTTAGATTTTTAAAATAAATAAATTATTCGATAATGGAAAATTAATTCATTAACTCCAATAATCAATTGGAAAAGAAAGGTTAGGTTGTTTAAAGTCAATGATTACATGAGTGATCTGGTATATAAGGTTAATTTTTATATATATTTTTACCATAATTAATACACAGATTCATGAATGTTCCTTAATATGATAAAAAATGTGAAAGAAAAGTTTAATTAACATTTGATTGCAATTAATTCTAATTGTAAGACGAGGGGATGAGCTTACGCTAAATGAAATATATTGCATGTTTCTTTTTTTTTTATCTCTAACAAGATATTAAACGCAGCAAAAGTAAGAAAAGAAATTGAAAGAAAATTGTTCGCTGATTTAAAAACGCACTTGCATAGGTACTGTAAGTTTTCTTTTTTAAATTCGTTCGGAAGTTAACGGTGGACGATGCGAAGTTGAAAACGAAAGAGTAATGAAACTGCTGAAAGTACATAATATAAAGTAACGAGAAAACAGGCCAGGCCCGGCGGGTTCGTGAAATTCAGTGAACTTCGAAGTAGATCGTGGAAAATTTCCTTAGCTAGTAGGAGAAGGAACTTGTAAGAGAGAAAACCTACCACGTCAAGAAAAAGAAAGTAAAAAAACAAAAAAAAAACGACATTTTACCGAGGAAAAGTAAATACTTTCTTCGTTTGCAAAGTTTGCCCGATCGGTGAGAGTCAAGTTGCGTCAGAGTTTCCAACGACTACATTTTTTTCTTCTATGAATTATAAAAACACAAAAACACAAATAAAAAATTCATAAAAAATGTTTAACACAATTATTCATTAGAATGAAAATTTTTCATAATTTTTCTTATATTTTGTATAATAAATAAAGTGTATAAAAGTGAAATATTTTTACAATCCTGACGCAAACCTTACCCAATAAATGTAAAGATTTACCAAAATATTTATAAAACTAAATAAAATGGAATAAAATGAAAGAACAAGTAAAGAGTAACAGAGAGAATATTAAGGAAAATTGGAAATAGGTTGAAACTTTCAATCTCGAATAAGATGTCAAAGTTGTGAGTAGGAAACAGAATTAACCTTCGCTTCTAGTCCACGTATTTCTCTTAAGAGTGTTAGTCACGTCGCTAGTCGTTGTAGAGACAGACAAAACGTCATCTTCTCTATCCATTTCTCTTTCCTTCCCTTTATCTTTCTCTCTTTCTCTCTCTTTCATTCCCTCTCTTTATCTCTATCTCACTCTCGCTCTCATTTTCACTCGACTCGACGTCGTCTCGTAAATTAGTTCCCAGTTAATCGGTTACGGCGTTAACATCGCGGGGTGTAGGGTTGCAAGGACGAGTCTTCCGCGAAAGGGATAATTTGCATTTTAATTGCACCATCCGAACGTCCTCCCTTCGAAACGCTCGCGCGTTACCCCCGTTTCACCCCCTTTCTCGTCTTCCTAGCTGACACTAAAACGAGTCGGCGTGCATTGTGCTTTCCCTTCTCTTCTTGCAAAAATAATGTTCCCATTAAAATTGAAAGTCATACTTGCTTTCTCTTCCACCCTTTACCCCCAACCACCACCCTATCCCCGTCTTCTCTTATTCTACATTCTAATGCGTATGTCTGTGTGTGTGTTATCTGAATGCGTGGCTCTGTGTTTCTGTGCGTTTGTTTGGGTATCTGTGTTTCCTGTGTATTTGTCGAATATCTGAATACGTGTCCGTGTTTCTGTGATCGTGTCTATGAAAAATACGCACACAGCTAAATTTTGTGCTTATATATGTACACATATATACACGAAGAAAGAGAAAGGATATATATGGGGGTGAAAAAGAGAAAGAAAGTATTTTACAAGTATGGTTTTCTCTCTCTCAAATCTTTTCCAGCATTCATCCTCCTGTGGACCTCCATCGATCGTAATTTAATTTACAACGATTCCGATAATGGCACTTTAAAGGCGAAATCTCTTCTGGACGGCTCATTCGTTCGTTCATTAAACGTTTCCTGAGGTTTGAATTTTGTGAGATTTTGTTGACGTTAATTTTGATTTTTATATAATACTATAAATTATAATTATTTTATTATTATATTTATTTTATTCTTTTTTTTCATCTTCCTCTATTTACTTCCTTTACTTTTTTTTTTGTTTTTTTTCTTTTTTCTTTTACCAGGCTACTTTATTTTTTTTCTCTTTTATTCGTCGGGTTACCAGATGAAGAATAACGACGGTGGTAAGGGCGGTGAAAAATTTTCATAAGGGATCTTCATGAATTCTACTCCCTGAATCCTATTTTACTCCATGGGCTGTTATTATACGATGCATAAATTTTGAGAATTCTTTCGAGAGGGGAGAAGGACGTGAGAAGGAAGTTTTGGGTAACCAATCGATATATTTTGTGAACTAAGCTAAAAGTGAACAATTTATTTCATTGTCTTTCTTTTACTTTCTTTTCCTTTACAATTGGATGATCTTCTTTAAAAATAGAGATCGTTGTTTTACAATGAATAAATTTTGAGAAATTTTTCTGTAAGTGGTAAAATGTTTTCCAAATATCCGATGGGTAATTTTGAATGAAGTTGAGAATTAAAAATTTATTTCACGGTCTTTTCTTTCATCTTTTTAGTAATTTTTTGGTTCTCGTATAAAAAAGGGTGGCTCGTTAAAAGTTTAAAAATAAAAGGTTAAAAAAGTAGCAATGTAAAGTATATATTAACAATAATTATTTTCCTTTTATTATTAAATGATATTTTTATTCTTGTAATTGTTTGATATCGTTATTTTATTTCTCTTTTTTTTTTAATTTTAAGTTCTTGTTCATAATTAATAAAATATTAAATAAAAATAAATGCAATATTTCTTGTTTTCTTTTTTTTTTCGAAATACAATAATTTCCCTCTCTCTCTTAAAACTAAATTTATTTAATTCCAGATCATTGATCGTCGAAAATTTTCTACGCAATTTGTTCCAATTTCGAACAAAGATGATAGTAAAAATAATTTTTTTTTCTCCATCTAAAAATAAATCCACTTTTTCTTGTATTTTTTTAGATTACTACAAAATCCTCTCCCTTTCTCTCTCTCTCTCTCTCTCTCTCTCTCTCTCTCTTTCTGCAAATGAAATTTATTCAATTCCAGATCATTGATTGTCGAAAATTTTCTACACAATTTGTTCCAATTTCGAACAAAAATGTTAGTAAATAATTTATTGCTTCCTCTTTTTCTTTCTTTTATCATTTTATTCATTTTTTGAATTTCGTATAAATAAAACGTGACTCGTAGAAAGTTTAAAAATACAATTTGAAGAAAAAGTAATATAAAACAAAAATTCTTTTTCATTTCTTCTTTTTTGTAATTATTATAATTTTGTTGTTATAATTATTTTTGTTTATCTCTTTTCCTATATTGTTTAGTTTTTTTTTTCTTAGATTAATTTTAAGTCCTTAAGCATTATTCTTCGTATACTCATAATGAAGCGGAAGGAAAACTTCCGTAGTGAAACTTTCAACGAAACTTTTAACGCCACTCTCTTGAACTTTTCAAGCCGGATGTTCGGCAACAACTTCTACGCATAAGTACTCCTTCACGTCGTTGAACATTAATAAATTTCTTATGTAACTCATGGACCGATTTTATCCTTCTTCTCGATTAGATAAGCTACAAATTATCGATGATCCGGATTATCGTACAATCATTAAATTCTAATCAAACTTCGTACTGTCCAACAATGATATTGATCAATGTTACAACGAGAATTACAAATTGTTCAATTAAGAACAATAATAAAATAATAAACAATTCTTCATCAAATTACACTAACACGAACGCTAATTGTTTCTTATATTACGATCCTAATTTTCTTTCTTTCAAATAAAAAATATGAAAAGTTATTTTAATTATTGTAATTATGTAAAATAAAAATTATTTTCTTTATACTATTATTGTGTGTGTTTTTTTTTTAAATACGTTAGCACAGTTAATATGACCGATAAAGTGTGCATAAATGCATAAAATTTTCTTTAAAGAAAATAATATTAAATTCTATGTAATGACCTACTGATAACGCACATATACATATACTGTATATTACTTTCATTTATGAATATAAATATTATATTTTAAATATGATCAAATTGTAAAGTTTTAAGTCACGTTTTTGCAGTCGTTTCAATACATAGGTTTTTGACCTATTCCGCAGGTGCATTCATATTTTACACAGTAATTCATACGCGTTTTCGTTCACATTACTAACACAGATACACTCACAAGCATACATGTAGAAATATAATGATTCACTTATACACGAAGGTGATATTACCATTGGAGACTAGTTTTATGATTCATTTCCAAGAGGTGCGTTGATTTTATGATACACCTGGTCACAATTTCACTCAGAGTTATACGTACGTGTTAACACAAACACACACAAACTATGCATACGTATACTCTATGAGTTAGTTTCGGAAAATGACGCGTAGGTTAGTTGAAGTTTCCCTACTCTGTAGAATTTATCGTGGTCCCATTCGGTGTCGCAGTTGCGAACGAACCCGTAGATTTGAATTTCGAATGATTTCCAAGTTTCCTGGTAGACCATACCCCTCCTCAACCTATATTTCACAGTTTTCAGATTGAATTCATGACGAGACTGTTGGAAGTTCATTCCGTTTCCTGCGGTATTTTGAATTTAACGATTCACCTTTACCAACAGCGTTAAAGATCTTATCTCACTTTAAGAATATATAGAGAACCTTTAAACCCGTATACCTGGTCCCGAATCAAACACAACCGTTACCCCAACAAGCACACCAGGGAACGTTTCCACTACTTGTGCTTCCTTTTCTAGATTTAACAGCAATATTAGTGCCTTCTTTAATTTGTACAGAATGAATTATTTCTTTGTCCGATGTACTCGTAGTTAGACCATCTGAATATTTGTCTTTAGATGTTTCTAAACTACCACTTCTCGTTGTTTTGATTGATGTTAACGACGGTCGTTTTTTTGGATTGAAATAAGTTGATATTCGTCTGACTTGATCTTTTCTTGGTGAATCTTGTCCCGAGGATGATGATCTACTCTCGTTTTTATCCTCAAGGGCATCCGATGTCGTAGTTGTCGTGATACTCAGTTTTCTAGCTCTTTGACGTACCACAGATTTGCCTGGGGATTCAGGCATTTCCGTTGATGTTACGCTACTCTGTTTTTTCAATTTTCTTTGAGCTAACGGTGAAAGAGGTTTTGTACTTAGTTTATCTTTTTTCATTGTTCGTTTGCGTCGTTGTCCGCTCGGTGAGTTCGGTATACTGATATTATTTTCTTCTTCTTGATGATGCAGACAACTTTGATCATCCTCGATATGGGAATCACCGTCTATTGATGTTTGTGTTTGAGCTGGTACCTTTTTTGTATTTTGATCATAATACATTTGTAAAGTGGGACAAACGTGGGATGGTCCAGCTGGGACGAATGGTATATTTTGATAAAGATTTTGATTCTGTAGATAACGTGTTGCATTTATTCTTCTTAAAGTATCCAGGTCATAGGGCATCGCTGATGGTAACAGTGCATGGGGACTTGGTCTTTCGAAAGAGGTTACTTGAAAGTCTTGTGCTGGTGTAGAAAGATTTTTATTTGGGATCAATTGATCGGTAGGAATCAACAATCGATTCTGATCGGGTACTAAATTTCCTTGCCTTCTACGATATCTTTCACTAGGTCTAAGTCCTCTAGTAAAGCCCATTGGTTGCTGTGGTAGTGGTGGTGGTGGTATTGGCGGTGAACTTGGATAACTATAATTTATATTGTTTTCACTGACTTGAACGGAAAGTGGTTTGGTTATCGGAGAATTTCGATCGGAAGATTCAAGAACATTTCGTTCAATATTCCTGAGAAATGGATTCGTGAGAATTCTATAATCCACCGATGGTAACTGTGGTATTTCTGGGGTATTCGCGTTTTTTTCACGATCGTGACGTGGAATTTTTAATGTAACATTTAAGTGAGTTCTATAAGCCTTAGTCGAAGATGATTCGTTGGTTAAATTGTCTAAAGTATTGTCGCTCATAGTCATTGTCTGTCCTTTCTCGTTGTAGTTAATCTTTGTCAAGGGTTGCGAATCACTGCTTAAATCCTGGCAGGACATTGATTTAGTTAACTGATTGATCGGTGTAGGCTTGACGCTTTCAATCAACAGATTGTCCGTACTTAGATACACGTTTCTCTGTAGATCTTCCTTCTCTCGGTAGAAATTATTTCCATAGGAAACTGCACCGTTAACGCAAAGGTCAATGGAACCCTTTAACCCTAACAATTGATTGCTTTCACAGATCACCGTAGACCCGGTTTTGCCACTACTGGAACTAGTTCCAGTTCCAAAGTAATTTGAACCGCAAACGGTAGGTGACTCCTCGTCCAATAATTTCTTCGATTTTGTCGTTGCTAATGGGGCAAAAAAGTGTTTCGGTTTTTCCACACCATCGAACGCATAATTTTCATCGGAATCCTTTTCCTCGTTATTTTCGAAATTCCGATAGCCATTTAATCTTTCATTTTCAATATTTTTCTCGCAGGATGCATCGATTTCATCCCAAAGGTTACCCAACGACACTTCTTTTTGTTGTCTTGGAATGTATGCATGTGAATTTTCAAATAATCTTAAAGCAAGCTGTTTCCCTTGCTTCTGTTGCTGCTGTTTCGAATCATCTAAGTTTCTCTTTTGTCGTATACTAGCCGTGTTCGTGAAACTTTGATAGTTTCCAACTGCGTGACTCTCTAAGTGCTGCTGTTGCTGCGAGCTTTCTACGTTTGCCATTCTCATAGTTGAATTTGATACACTACTGCTAGCCAATACATTCGGATAACTTGGCAATGCCGTTGACTCCGAAAGTAACAGATTGTTTTGCCAACCAATCGGTGGCACGTGGATTTCTGGTATTATCTTATCGTTCATTGGATTCAATATTGGAGAATCCAATGTACCCAAAGGAATTAATGGATCCGCATAAATAGCTGGACAAAGAGGTGGTAAGACAGTTGACAAGTTGCTACCACCTCGCATTAATGAATCTACTGTGTTTGGACATGGATATTCGGGAAAGTAATTGGCGTCCGTAAAACTTTGACTAGAATCATAACTACCTGGATAAAAGGGTATATTGTCGTGTAGTTTTCTAGGTTCTATCAATCTAACTTTAGACTTTTTTTGATTGTCTTCACTCATTATTGTTGTTTCTTTTCTATCTTTTTCTTTTTTTAACTCTTCTTCTTCATCGACAACAGAAAGATCATCAAAATCAACGTGCAATCGATGCAAATTGGTATTGTTCATCTTTTCCGTCGATATTTTCTGATTTTCAGCATTCTCTAATTGTTCCTCTTGATCGTGCTCCTGCCTTGTCTTTTCGTTACTATTTTGAATTTTCTCAGGCTCTTCCTCTTCTTGCTCGTTCTCCTCGGAATAATCCGAATGTAGCACGTCATCATCTTCGGAGCGATCCTGAAACGTTCGTTAAAGTATCTCATTAATAACTGTCCGAAGAATAAAGCCTTGGTAAATGAAGTACTTAAAAACGTAATTATTTTATTTCTACAGTATAACTTCAAAAATTCTATATATACATTTATTAATATAATAATTAATTATATTATATATATATAAACCAAATAAATAATAATAATAATAGTTAATATCATTAGAGTTTATATATAATAATTATGTAATATATATAGTTTACAAATGTAGCTATTACTATTATTAGTTACAAGTGTAACTATCTAAATAATATTGTATAAATTTAAACCAATTTTACAATTGATGGTTCATTTAACATTTGTGTTTTGTTTTTGAAAGTGGAATATTTTCACAATGTTTCTACGAAAAAACCACAAACACCTTATATACACAGATAGAAATATAGAACACATACCTCAGATTCGTCGCTTTCAGTACGATTCTTTTGTCTCTTCAGTATCTCCTCGAGCTTATCGTACTCATCCCGAAGGCTCCATATCTCTCTGCGCAGCTGTTCGTTCTCCCTTCGCAATTTCTTTATATCGTTTTGACCTAAAAGAAGAATGAACAAAAGCAAAGGAAATGATTTAACGTCTTCAATCAGGTATAGGTACGGAGTACCCATTTTATGGCTTTCATATTTGAACAAATATTTAGAAATGGCCTTGTAATTTTCGTTTTTATTTATAAAATCATTACCCCACGAAATTTTGACAATTAATAAAATAATATATTATTGATTTTTTAAATTATTAATTTATAAGTAAATTGTGTGTTATATAAATATACCAAAAATGTTCAACATTTTGGCTTCCACATTTGTAGAAACAAAATATACTCAAACTACGTAATTTGGTTTAGATAAAAATAAATATTACAATTAGTAATATGTAATACTACTAGTAATATTACTTTTTAGTTATTACTAAATTACTGTTTACTAAGTTTTACTATACTATTATACTACTATATATACTACTACTACTATATGTATATATACTACCATATATATATATATATATATATATATATATATATATATATATATATATATACTATATGTAGTACTATAACTACTTACTAGTTATTACTGTACTATTACTTTGTAATAAGTAATACTAAGTCATTAGTAGCATAATCTTAAAACTATAATAAATAAATAATAGATAATATAAATATAATTACTACAAATTTTAATATATTGTAATAAATACAGTAACAATGCCAAAAATACTACCTAAATGTTTTAAAAGAAGCCTATATGTTAAAATATAATCATTATAGTGTTGAATATTGTGCTACCCAAGGTAAGCCATGAATTGGACATCTTTGAACTATCATCTGAAATGAAAAAAAATTGAGAAAGGGAGGAAGTTTCGTATTTTTCTGAAAGATTCGTATCTTTGTATTTTTTGTTGTTTGCTTTCATTCTTTCACGCGAAAATCACTTAATCACTAGCACTAGTCGAGTCACTGAGGGCTGCCTGGTACACCTATTGAATCGATCGATCATTGGTCAGCAAGGGAGAACAATCTCTGGGCTTTGAGGAGCTTCTCTCCTGCCTTCCCCCTCTCCTTCCCCAAGCCCTTTTGCTAGTACCTACCATATCCCCTAGTCTCGTTCCTCCTCCTATTCCTCTCTTACTCCTCTTACCATTCGCCTTTCTCGTTGGTGCGTTCTCGCGCACACGTGTCAAGGATCGAGTGATAAATCACCGCGGTGCTGGACCTTCCAATTACTTAACTCAGCGCGAAAACGAGTAAAGTTCTCTCGAACGTTACGTTCTCAGATCGAATTTAATATACCGACATGCTCGTCTTCTTCGGAAAAATCGAAACTGAGAATCGTGAGAAACGATTCCTTTCAATAAACTTGACTAGATCGATAGAGGTATATTATTTAATAACTATATCTAGATTTATTTCATATCTTTGTCTATTAAGGGTCTTGAAATATTATTTTAATATATTTTTTATCATTTTTTTAACATTGAATCGAGATGTAGTTATTAAATATTAATTAAATTATATATTAGTTAAATTATATTATAATTAAATTATATAGTAGTTAAATATTAATAATAATATATAATTAGATTAAATAAATATTAATACTGATATATAATTAAATTATATATTAGTTAAATATTAATTATGCTTTGTTATATAATTTAAATTTTAATAATCAAATAAATAAAATAACATAATAATAATAATAATAATAATAATGATATTATATATAGAATAAATATATAATATTACATTTATTTTATTAAATTAAAATAAATGTTAATATTAACAATAATTATTATTATATTATTATAAATACTAATATTTTGTTAAAATTTTGTTCTCTTTCTCTTCTACTTATAATTTTTTTTTTATATTCCTGTCACAGTATCTCCTAACAAATCTTTCATATCGTATTAATTCGACGAATAATTTCGTTTCTGCTCTCGATTCGCGAATCTTTTTATTATATTCCTTTTTTTTTGTATTTTTAATTTCCTTTCTTTTTTTCAATACGAATGCTTCCCATTTGTGTGAACGTTTTTGTTCGTACGCGTGTGTTTGAGTGTATGCGTGCGATAACAGCTAACCAAAAACGAACCGCGAGCGCGCATAACAAGAAAAGCCATGTGGTAAATCAGGATTAAAACGAAGCTTAGCGAGGCGCGAGATTTAAATAAATTAAATCCTTCCAGAGGTTCATAAATTCGGATTTCCCGCGCGTACACGAACGCCCATTCGGATCCTATTAAACCTCGAACCATCCATCCTATCATCGTGAAATCGTTCTTCTTCCACATATCCCACCCCCTATCCTACCCCTTTTCCATCCCTCATTTTCTCTTTATTCTTCGTTTGTTCTTTTTGATTATTTCTTTTATTTTTTAATCTTTCTCTTTTTTATTTGTGTCATTTATTTCAACATTTTATTTCGTATGAATTTTTGTGTGTAATTTATCGTTTTATATATTTTATTTTAAATGTTATTTATTTTTTACTATTACTCTTTTTGTTTTAATTTTAATGTTTAAATATTGAAACAATATGTTATTTTGATCATTATAGAAAGTATTATATATTTTTATTCAATACAAAAGGGGTTTTTCACGAAATAAACAATTAATAAAATTGTTCCTTTATAGGTATTTTATAAATTATGGTATATATAGTATATACTATATGATATATAGTATAAGTATGGTATATAGGTATTTTATTATACATACTTATACTATATAGTATAATACTATGTAATAATATAATATTAATTATTATTATATACTATATAATATTATTATATTTATATATAATATTATTATTATTATTATAATATACTATATAATATTAATACTATATTATAGTATATAGAGAGTATAGTATTATTTATTATTTTAATCCGTACATTCTTAACATCATAATAATTGAAGATTCATATGTTCCAATAAAACATTACATTCTATATTTTTAATTAAATATTTCTTCTGTGCATTTCATTCTTTTTAAATATGTATAATAAATATATATAATATTTATTTTAAATATGTATAATATAATAATAAATATTTTCATTTATTTATTTTTTTATTTTTTTAATAAGTCAAATAAACGCAATTCTAGTTACTATATCAATATTTTGTACCTTAATATATTTTTCAATATTAATTCATCATTGAAACATTTGTAAATGTTTAGAAACAACATTGTGGGAGTTAAAGCCATATCTCATTTCTCTTGGTACAAATCTTTTTAAAATTTATGACAAGATAAATTACACAAAAACATAAAAAAACCAATTCTTGGTTTAACCAGACTCCAAGTATATTCTTATTACATCAATCCATCTTTAAACTTGAACCTACACCATCGTTTTGGTAGCCTCAAGGAATAGCAATAACATTGGCTTGTTTACATCTGACCGTACGCGTTCGTATTAATTATTTGCTTGTTTGTTTGTGATAAAATTAAGGATAAAGATAAAATTGATGCTGCTTCTACTACTGTTACTCTTGATGCGGAAAAAGTAACCTCCGTACAGAGATTCTCGAAAAGAAGTGCATAAACAGAAACGGCGTATATTAACTTTAGAGTTTACATATTAAAATAGAGAACGAACGAATGAGAGACAGAGGCAAAGGGTATGATAGAAGAAGGAATATATAGAGAGGAAGAAGAAAAAAAAAATCAGGTAAAGAAGGGTGAGATGAGGGGTGGTGGTGGGTGTGGTGGTGGTGATGTTGGTGAGGAAAGCAGAAACAAGATCACAGGTACGAATTCTCTTGAGGAGAACTTCACCCTTCGAGTTTTTCTCGTAATCTCTCACGTGTTCTTCTTCTTCTCTTTCTTCGAATCTTTGCTGTCTCTTTCTCTCTCTCTCTCTCCCTCTCCTCTCTCTTTGTGTCGTTCTCTTTTGCGATGACGATGTTGATCAAAGATAAACTCCAGAGACATATTTAGTTACCAACGTAACTTTTAAACTTTGAATTCCTTTTCGAACTTATCATTTATCTTTCTTTTATAAGAAGGAAATAGACTGCATCTGAGTTCTCAAACGAAAACCTCTCCAAAAGGTTTGCTTTTCTTTTTACCTTTCTCATCTTTCTCTTTCTTTCTGTCTTTATTTATTTTTTTTTCCATCTCTCTCTCACCCTCTCTTTTCTTATTATGTTTTCTCTCTATATTTCTCTTATTATTTCTTAATTTCACTTTCAACTACATACACATAAACACACATTTAAATGAAATCAAAAATTCATTCACTTTTATTCTCTCTCTCTCTCTCTTTTTCACTCTGATTGTCTCTTTCTTTTACTTTGATTTATTTTTTCAATATTATTGTTGGAACACATCGTTTCGTAAAGACGTGTTTTTTCCATTCATCTTTATAATCGACCATTAATAACGCGGAACGACCATAAAGATAAAAAGATATAGATAAAGAGAGATAAAAAGAGAAAAATAAAAGAGAAAGAGAGAGAGAGGAATAATGTTGGCACTTTAGTAGGAAGATCGAGGGTATTTCGATCCTCGGTGGTTAAACGAGAGGCAATCCGCATTTGGGATGATTCATAGGTAGACGATGATGATGATAAACAAATGGAGCGGTAGAGTGCTAATCCACAATGTTGGCAGTAAACCAAAACGACCATTAAACGCACTTCCAATGGATGGAATGCACTGCCGCAACGATAAAATTCGAAAGAAGGTGAAGGGGGCAAGTTGCATTTTAGTTTTTATTCGATACGCTGCTTTTCTATGTTCAATGTCTTTGATTCATTCTATTGTTTGGATTTTTATTATTATTTTTTTTTTTTATTAATATCTTCTCGTTTTTTGGTTTGTTTCTTTTTTTCTTCATTTCTTTTTCTTTCATATTTATCAATCGTTAAATTTTCTTTTCTTTTTATTACCAAAATTTTATTGGTTTTGAAGGATTTCATTTGACTGATATTTGTTGCGTTTATTTATTTAATTTAATTTATTTTTACTTATGATTATTATTCTTTTTATTCTATAATTATTATTATTATTATTATTATTATTAT